CTTTGCTCCCGAGTCTGATTTCCGTGCAAATCAATTTTTTTTAATTTATCCGAACACTCGAACGCAAACACGTGACCCCTTCTCCGATAACGATCGAATAAATTTGCACTGCTATATATGTACATGTGTATATGTATATAACGACGAACCATCGCTACCTACGAAACACGCAATACACAACCTACCGCAATACAATACTACAATACTACAATACTACAAAAACCGCAATACACACCTACGAAACACACAATATTATATTTAATAAATCAACGATGCTTGGTGTATTTGGAAATCAGAATCCGCTACGATGCTTGACATTTCATTATCGCGAACCCGTGATCGATAAAGGTGAGCCGTTCGATTCTGGAAACGTTCGAATTGTTCCAACGGTTACTTTCGATCGTGTACAGTATTTGTTGGAGAACGGTCGAACGAAGCTGCTGTTGTAAAAATGGTCGAGCGCTCGCGGATGTTGGCCGATCGACTTCGCGAAATGAAAAGCAGAGAGGAGACGTTGCGAGACGAATTTTTCCAAATTTTCCGGCCGAACTGTGAACGCGACGAGGTTCGCGTATCGTTCGACGTTCGACGTTACTTTTCATTTCGTTCGACGACGTTTGTATATGCAAGAAATCGTTCGCGTCCGTTTCCGTTTTCTGTGAACTCGCGACGTTGGTCATTGCGACGAACATGTACGCGCGAACTTTTCCGCGGGGGCTGGTCGGTGCGAACGTTCGAACGGCGGACCTTTTTGCCGGAAATATAATCGTCCGCGAGCGCGCCGATCATTTTATTGGGATTTTATGAAATTTTATATGAAGTTGCAATTTTGGAAATAGAATTGTTCGTGGATTCGCGGAATTTCTTTGTAATAGTCTGTCTTTGGTCTGCTGCGATTCTTTCAATATATTTAACAACGATATTTTATGTATATTATGTAACAATAGATGTACGATATTGTGTAACAATGTAACATGATGCAATTATGTAGCAATATAATATACTACAATTATATAACAATATTATATAGCAATATAATATAATACAATTTATATAGCAATATAATATACTGCAATTATATAGCAATATAATATAATACAATTTATATAGCAATATAATATACTGCAATTATATAGCAATATTATATAACAATGTAATATAATACAATTATATAACCATATAATATAATACAATTATATAGCAACATAATATATTACAATTATATAGCAACATAATATATTACAATTATATAGCAATATAATATAAGACAATAATATAGAAA